GGGGGGGTGAAGGTTACTCCAGGGTGGGCGCAAATCTTGAGCGTTGACAAACGGCAATAACAGGGCACGAGCGAGAACAGAGCGGGTGGCCTCTCTCTGGCCCCCAATGTACATCGCGGTCCAATACATCTCTCAGCCTCCCAACTTGAGATGAACCAAACGTAGAAAAAAAGGGAAATGATAAGAGAGAGACGGGTGGAGAGAGAAGAATGAGAGATGAAAAAAAAGCCTAAAAAATGCCGACGCGCTGTTTCGTGCATGATCTGGCAACGCTGGAATTCCTCCCACTACGTGTTGTAGGGTTTCTCTTGGGACCCGTAACGAGTCTCAAGGTGTATGGCTACAAGGAACCTTGGACACTAACGGGTGTCCAGATAATACCTAAATTGGTCCATGGACAGCCGAAATATTATCATTCATTTCGGTGAATCCGGTTAATTCATTGGTATCGCCAGATGAAAGGCTGTTCTCTCAAGGATGAAATGTTTCCACTTCGCATTGTCTTTTTTTTATGTTTAAGGGGAGATTACAGTGAGTTTTAAAATTCGCGGGCTGTTGGAGTGAGATTTATTGAAGATCGATTGTATGGGCGTTTTCGACAATTATTTATGTAGTTTTGTACATTCAAAAATTTAACTTTGTTGAGGCTTCATATATGGCTTTCTTATCATTCAAAAGGTCTAAAATTTTTTTTTAAATTTATTACGTCCACAACGTTAATTTTTTAATTTTGTGGGTTTTTTATAAAATTTTGCGTTTCAGCATAAGTCAATTTTTTTCGGGTCTGCAATAACTCTGACGGAAATTTTCCTCTTGATTGAGCATGGTGCCAATTAACTCACATCATTGGCAATGATTTAAATATTATCATTCGTTTGAATGAATCCAGTTAATTCATTGACATCGCTAAAGGAAAGGCTATCCTCTCAAGGATGAAATGTTCCCACTTCTCATTCTTTTTTTGTGTTTAAGGCAAGACTACTATGAGTTTTGAAATTCGCGGGCTATTCGAGTGAGATTTATTGAAGATCGATTATATGGATGTTTTCACCAATTATTGATATAGTTTTGTCCCTTCAAAAATTTAATTTGATTGAATTCTTATATGGTTTCCTCAGCATTCAAAAGCCCTAAAAAATGTTTTCCAATTTTTTCAAATTTTATTACGCCCATAACGTTAATTTTTTATTTTTGTGAGTTTTTGACAAAATTTTGCGTTTCAGCACAAGCCAATTTTTTTCGGGTTTCCAATAACTATTTCCGACGGAGATTTTCCGTTTTTCCGATTGAGCATAATGCCAATTAGCTCACATCATCAGAAGTGCTTTAAAATCGCCAAAAAAGTAGAAAATTCTACGTGGTACCCCCTTCCCCCATCTCGTTTGGAGTCTTTCATGATTTTTTTCAATTTTTTCTCACACAATTTAATTGACAAATTTGATGTTTGAAAATGGTTGAATCTATACACTGACAGACAACATTAGTTTTAGCAAGAGAATTTTATTTGAACCAACTATCATTTGGTTGTTAATTTTCAAATGAACATTATTTCATAGTGAATACCAGTTATCTCTGTATGAGATACATTTGATTGGGAGAAATCGAACTTCTTTAGAATTGAAGTTCCTTTTATTTGTAGCAATAATGAGAGTATTTGATTTCATTCTAGCGGAAAGTTTACTAACTCCAGAAATTCGTTCATTTACAACACTATCATACGTTGCTCCAAGTCAATTATAATTGAAGTGAGCATTTTGTACTTCGAATCAGGATGAATATTGTTACGCAGAAAAGCTTTGAAATTGTAGTAAGATGTTGTTGAGTTGAAAGAAGTTTACATTTCTTGACTAAAAAAAATGCATTAATTTACAATAACAGAATCACAGATTACGGCAATTCAACACAAACTTGGATATCACAATTTCGTTGAATGTGATGTACGGAAAAGCTCAATTTAAACATCAGCTTCATTCGAGGAAACAACATTCAATTCATTCCTCAATGTAATCATCTCCTAGGAACGAATATTTGATCAATTCATGAAAGTTGAAAATTTCTCGACTGAAGATTATATTAGGTTAAAAAAATTGAACTTTTCCATTCTTGTGGTGAATACAGGTGACTTGACGCTAATGACTGTTTTAATATAATTTTTAACGGAATTTATTGCAAGAAAATTACAAACAACAAAAAAAAATTGTTTCTTACAATAGGCCATCGGCCGAGGGCCTTCAGCCAATGATTGTTTTATTTGATTCAAGTAAATGTATCCCAAGATGAAATAATTCATATCCACCGTAAGATCTTATTTATTTGAAATTGGATCAAGTGTATAATACTTGTTTCGAGAAAGAAAAGTCTCAATAAAAATAATTTTTTCCATCAGTGTAGTGTGGTCTGTACCAAACTGTAAAAGGTACTTGGATATCCTTAAGCGTCTACGGGGCAAACGAACAATAAACAATTTTTTTTGCACTAATTATTCGTCGTTAGATGTATATAATTGATCTTCAATGGATGAAAAATCTCACTTCAATAGCCCGAAACTTTAAAAACTGATAGTAGTCTCTCCCTAATTAATGAAACTGAGACGAGACGACACGTGTTACCCGGCGATGTTTCAAAAATCGTTATGCAAGGATGCAAAGAGTGAAAGGGTGGGTAACTCGATCATCTTCACAGATGAGAGACAAGTTACTCCCGTTCTCGCTGTCTGTCTCTCTCGTGGTACCAGTTTCCGTGCTTACGTAGGTAAAAATGCCCCCACTGGAACACAGTCTACCACAGAATGGCTTCTGCTACTGACAGATTGCAGATAAACCTGTTTATTCACTCGGCAATATTTGCATTATTATGAATTCCTTGGAATATCTAGTTTGACGGTTCGTTTTTTTTTGTTATCGTGTTTATCTTTAGCCCGCGGTTTTGGAGGATTTGAGGAGGTGGACGTCCAGTGAAGCTCTCGGGGATATCACGGTTGCACCAGACTGTGCGTCGAGAATACTCCAGGACCATGATACGGATGATGCTGTTGATCATAAATTGCCGAGTCCAGAGGAGCAGGTTCAGGCGATCGCGCTAAAGTATGTCTTCAGTAATTCGATTATTCATTCCGTTAAACTTATTTTTAAAATGTTATGCAGGGGAGATACATACGGCTGTGGGTATTAATGGGTTAACATTTCACGAAAGGAAAAATATTCTTGAATGACGGATATTGTTTATTGAATTTATAATTTGAGTATTTTCTAATTTAAAAATATCAAACTACTTTGGCCATTTTTTCTTCAGCTTTTTTACTTTTGTAGTTGAACATTAAAGCTTTCAGTTGAGCCGTATTTGACCCTATGGTTTGGTACATTTCACAATGATTTTATTGTTCAAACTTTGCAAGTCTCAATTTGAATCTCAATATTGAACTATTAAAAAACATATTAAATCTGCAAGAAAATTAGAAAGTTTACTTTTGGAGCAAGATTGCGAGCATTTTTTATGAATGATTTATAAATAATCAAATTTCCACCATAAAAATTATTTGTTCGGAATTGTAACAAATTTATTCATATTCAGAATTTTACCAGAAATTGATGTCATGCCTGAAAAAATTAGGTTTTGCGAAAGTTTAAACAATTTCAATTAGTTATTTATAAACAACAAATGTTTAAAAAAATAATAATTCTGTGCAAAATGTTATTTGAATGACGCTGAATATTCATGATTTTTTCAAATTTTTCTCACGCAATATGAGTGACAAATTTGATGATTGAAAATGGTTAATCTATAGAGTGGTCTGTACCAAACTGTAAATAATACGTGGATATCCGTAATTTAGGGGAGAACATCATGAAATTTCAAAAATTTAGTGTAAATTGAATGGAGTTCAAAAATTTTCAGTCAGAATACATTTATTCAGGGCCAAATTACGCTGAATTATTGATTACTTGAAAATTTTTATTTTCATGGAATAATTGATTTGAATTTTACAACTTCCATTGATGGTTCCAATGAATTCTGAATTTTTTAATTAAAAATTCCTCGAAATTTTAATTGCGAAAAAAAAATGAAATATTGCGACATTAAAGTCGATTTAAGGGGGACAAAATGATGAAATTTCAAATTTCACTGGAAATTTAAGGATATATTTAGCTAATTTTTCTCTAATGTCTATTCCCTTTCATGGAATAGTTGCACTAAAATTTATAGTTTGCATTGATTTTTCCAATTGATTGTGAATTCCTAATGAGAAAATGCTCAAAAATTTCACTCTAACTGTCACTCGATAAAAATGTCTCCAAAAAATATTCACCAGAATTCAAGAATTATTTTCCTTTTTCCGCCTATTCCCTACAGATTTATTCGCATACTCAACATTCCCCGAGAATCGCGAATCACAGAAGTAGATAGCCAATTACTTTGCCCATTAAAAATGAAAGAGATTCCAGAATTGATAAAAAAAAAATTAATGGATTACTCATGTTGATGGATTAGATTCCCAGCGGAAATAGTAGCGGTAGATGTGAGTGGTCGTGGTTTCGAGAGAATGTCCATGAGAAGGAGATCCTTGCTATCCGCACGGGCAACAGGTGAAAATCAGGATGCAAGCGTGAAACGTAGATCACGACCGCGCAGGCCACGGGGAAAAAGACGAAATACGATAGCTGGAACGGACAGAAAGGAGATTCGTCGAGCAGTTGGAGAGTAAGTAATCCCCATACCTTTACATCATTTTTCGCTAAGGCAAGAAGCTTAAACATCTCCCTTTACCACTTTATTTTTTCACCTCAAAAAAACATTTTTTATCGTATCAGAGAGTCGACGGCGAACGAAGCTGACGCTTCGGTTCGAGAGGATGAGATTATATCTCAAGACTCCCCAGGCAGAGCTCACCGTTCAGCAAGTACAGATATACTCGGTAAAAAGGAGTCGCCAACTGAGAGAAAATGGCACTTTGACACATTGAAAGCTTGGGGTATGTCGCGACTAAAGTTAATAAGCCCAAAACAAGATGAGAATAAAATTGAAAATAATTCCCACGAGTTGCATGGGCCATGTGACGACACAAACGTATACGAAATGATAACGACCCAGCGTAGAAAGAGGGATAAATCGCACGAGAGAAAACCGAGTTCATCGAGCTCAAGTGGTAAGAGTATAGCATCGAGTATTGCTGTTTCGATACCGGTGCCAGAGAGGCCAGTAAAATTGCGCGAATGTGCCGCGCAAAAAAGGGAGAGGAGAAAAGGTGGAAATAATCGTGATGATCCACCACACTCGAGTTCTGGTAATTGGAGTGCGTCGTCAGAGAGCGGTAGAGCGAGTATAGGAAGTGAAACAACGACTAATCCACCGAGATCAACCACTACAACGTCCACTGGGACCTGTTCGATGTCATTGAGTCATGCCAGAAGATTACGGGGAAGGGACACTTCGACATCGTCATCTGTGACGTCCGAGGGTACCCTGACGCCGGATATTATCCAGGACATTGGGGTAATGCCATTCTCCGATGATGGGGAGGGAGAGGGAGAGACTTGCTCTATTTATTCGTGTGATACTGAGGGCTATTACACGTCATTTCACATGGACTCGGGGTTGAAGACACTCAGGGAGGAGGAGACAGTACCCCAGACCCCGTTGACTAAGTCCAACGAAGTCAGTCCTGATTCGGTGTCACCTCTCGTGGAGAACGAGTATGAGCTGTTTGGGAGGGGATCCACCTCGACTACTACTAGTTCAGCGGGAACTGTTTGTACTACTCTTCTGGCACCACCGCCACCGGAGAGGAAATCGAGTCTTACTGTTGTTGCCATGGTGAGTTATCTGACTACTCGATCGGAAGATCAGTCCATATTCAATGGAATGGGATTGATCGATTACGAAATTTAAACAAGTTGTTATATCTCGGGAACTACTGGACCGATCGGGCTGAAACAGCGCGCCAAAGTTGAGCTCAATAATAACTACGATGAGCTAAAATTTCAGATTTTTATCTACAAATTACACCGTATTTATGTTGAATTTTCTAAAAATTAATCCCAGCAAACAGTATGTCGACAATTTGTCGACAAATTGCCGATGTCCTGTTAAATTTCAGATGGCACTGGCAAAAATTGTTTTCTGGGATCCCAAAAACCCAAGTTGTAGGATACATACATGTAGACATGACCCTAAAAACATCATTTCTTCACGATTCATAACATTCTAGACCATTTGCAATCAAAATTAGAAAATTGAAAAATCGGTCAAAAAAAGGCTTCATTCGGAAGCAAAAGGACTAAAATTGAAGCTAAAAATCTGAATTTTCGTCATATAATTGGTATTACTTTGGAGCACCTCTGGACGCATTTTTAGCTTAATCGGTCAAGTAGTTTCCGAGATGCAGCGATTTCTCAAAAAAAAATTTTCCTCAATATCTAGAAAACTACGTGACTGAGATGAGTTTTTTTATTGTAAAAATATTCCTTGATAAGATCTATCAAATCAAATCACAATATTGCTATGTAACTAGGGACAGTTTGGTAATATTCGGTATTTTTCGTTTTTAATAAATGCAAACTAAATTAGAAAATCGAAAAATTGGTCAAATACAAGGCTCCCATTCGAAAGCAAAAACATCATATCTTCACGTTTCATGACATTCTACATAATTCCCAAACAAAATAAGAAGATCGTAAAAATCAAGGATTACAAAGCTTCCATTCACAAACAAAAATCACGGAAATGCTCATCTAGATGTGATTTATGACATGAAGTACTGAACTTTAATTGGCCAACATCCGAATATAAAAAATAATTAGTTAAATACACATAAAGTCGAATGGTGCTATACTATTGGCTGAAATTTCACAGGAGAAAATAATGTACAGTAAACGAAGTAGTTAAGTGGTAAAACGAGATGACTCAACTTCAGGGTCAGTCTTTGAATGATATCTATGAAGCTGAGAGATACTCATCAGAAGAAATGTTAATCTTCATATTTTACCTTGAGACTGACAGTTACGGAGGGCGTGTCAAGTGGAAAAATTTGTTCTGCTTAATTTATTTCATCCCATGAGGTCGCTCGTAGCAGTTCAAAACCAAAATTGGAATTTTACGGACGGCTTAATAGTTGTTTCCAAAAGAGTTACATTGAATTAGATTTAGAAGGAGAAGACTTATAAAATTTTAACTTCAATTTTAATTCATGATTGTTGATATTCTAAAAACGGTCTAAGCGCAAAATTTCTCACTCTAAATTATCCCAACGTTTCGACTCCCAAGGAAGTCCTCATCAAGGGATTTATTTATTCTTCTAAATCAATTGAAAAATGTTTTCACACACAACAGTTTAGTCAGATCACAGATAGTTGAAAAATTTCTTTTATACATGCTAATCGTTAAATGTACGAATGTTGTTATAGACTCATTACAATCGAAAGCGATCTTCTCTTATTTCTTGGATGATGTTTTAATGCAAGTAATACAAATAATCTTAATGCATGTGAAAACAAGACGAAAATTTCATCACTCATTAGAATTTTCAGATAATTCAAAGTTCGAGAATATGATTTTCTGAATTTTCCTAAATTTTTTGAATTTTCACTCAATAATGAGAGTAAAATTTATCATTTCTATTAACTATTTCAAAATTATAAATTTTAAATTTTAAATTTCGGCCGACCAAATGTTCCTCAATTAGTACACAAAGTAGGCGGAGCTTCCGAGGAGTTAGCATAGGTCTTCAAGCTGACAGATTCAATGGGATTCAGATTTTTAAGAGGTGGAAAGATGAGAATCCTTCAATTTATTTGAATTTTCAATCAAATCATGAATATTCAGAACCTCTACTACGCTAAATACTCAATAAATTGAACATTTAAGAATATATTTACTTGGCTTTTCCTGATTTCCATCCATTTTCATAGAATAATTGAACTGAAATTAATACTTTCCATTAATCTTCTAATCAAACTATCAGTATCCAATGACGGAATTCAGTGAAACTGCTACTTGATAAAAATTTCCAAGACGTGTACTATAAATTTAAAAAAAATCAATGGAATATGCACCTTTTTAAGGACGGGATCTCCCGAAATTTCAGAGTAAATGTTGGTCGTTAAAATTTCTGGGCTTCAACACGGAAAATTCCGACAAAAATCTTAGCCCGAGTAGGCAGCTCTAAACAGAAAGAATTTTGTCCTTCCTCTTTGTCGAGTAATTGCTTTTGGGAAAAGAAGTTCCCTAACTGTAAATCTAAGGGGGATAGATTTCCGTGATAACGTTCCCTGCAGACCTTACTTCGCTCGACAAACATTCGGTCGTCTCTTTTAGATTTCGAGATATCTTTCAAGAACTGATCCTCAAATAAAACCGACTCACTCTGTTTCACTACTTCAGTACCAAATAAATTTGAATAAATCCTGAATTTCAAGCTATAACCTCAGCAAAATGTTGACATTTCAGGTTCATGGTCAGAATAAAAACGGCGGAGAATCCCCGGATAGTGGACATAACACATCCTCATCTCCAGTGGAATCAGCATCGAGTCCAGCCTGCACAGCAAGATCATGCTCAGAACTTGAGTATTCAGAATCGAGTGATCTCGAGGGTTGCGAGAGAATCGAGAGAATTCGTTCTAAAACAGCAATAAATACGAGTAGAATTCCGTCCATGTGTGTGATAACACCTCCAGGATCTGACGATGAGAACAGTAAGGAGACACCTCAGGAGTCACCGTCGAGTAAAAAAACCGATAATATGGAGATAAAGGTGAATAGCCCTGATGCCCCTGGGGCTGTCCTCATGTCAGCAACAGTTGGAACATCGAAGATGGAAGTGATCAACGGTCAGGACAAGAATCTCTACGCCACTGTTCAAACGATCGATCCTAAGGCTAAAGAGGCACCATCTGAGAGGACACACTTCAAGACAAGTCCACTCAGTGGAATGCTGGATAGAATTCGCGGCGTTCTGCCACTGAGTCGCAAGCAACCAGGAAAGACTGAAAATATTCCACAGACGCAAAATGCCTGTCATGACTCTGGCGACTATGTTACCATAGCCGACGTGAGGAATAATAATGACAAGGGATGTAATGCTAATCAATTGATCTATTCAAATGGCGAATTATTCGAGCAGGATCGTAGAGACACTGAGTACGTCAGTCTGACTGAATTACCTAAGAAACCGGATTCTTCGCTGGAGAGGAAGCGTCAGGGTGCTAGAGTCACTCTGGACTCGGAGGGAAAAGTTGTTTATTCGTCGGACAGTCTCAAGAGGCGAAAGGGAACACACACGACGTTCAATCCTGGTAAGAAACGACGAAATGGTCTCTCTGTTTTCAGATGTGAACCTGTCATTGTTAACACGGCAAATAGAATTTGTTTGAGGTTGGGGGGTTCCCCTTTTTTTCTAGGTGTTTGATTTGGCGCATGGGGGACCGCCTATCTTTTCGGAACTCATATTAAGGGGTTTCAGGTTGGAAAAAAAATGACATTGAATCGACATTTTTATGGGATTTTTACAAGTTATGAACGATTAATGTAAGGATAGCCAAATACTTTGGCTATTTTTTCTCCAGTGAAATGGTTTTCTATTTTTGTAGTCAAACATCAGAGCATTCATTTGAGCCCCATTTGACCCCAGAAAACATTTTTAAAATCTGAACAAAAATTAGAAAGTTTACTTTTGGAGGAAGATTGATGAAATAATTTATGAACAATCAATTTTCCATCATAAAAATCATTTGTTCGGAATCGTAACAAATTTATTCATTTTTAGAATTTCCCCAGAAAATGATTTCATACCCAGAAAAAATAAGATTTTCGAAAGTTTAAAAAATTTTCATTAATTACTTATAAACAACAAATTATTTAAAAAATAATAATTCTGTGTAGAATGTAATTTGAATGACATTGAATATTCATGATATTTTTCAAATTTTTCTCACACAATTTAATTGACAATTTTGAGGATTAAAAATGGGTGAATCTATAGTACGGTCTGTACCAAACTGTAAAAGATACTTGGATATATTTACCGTCTTATATAAATGCACTGAAAAAAAAATTACTTTTGCCAAGGAATCATAGTTTTTCAAAAACGATTTTTTTTCGAATAATGAAAGAATACCCATAAATTCGATTTCTATTCTTGTCTTTGGATAGAATGAATAGAATGACGACTTAAATGGCAATGAATTGGAAAAATTGCAAATTGGAGAGTGAAAATTTTTAAAAAGCGATGATCGGCTAGAAAATGGGGGAAATTTGTTATTCTTCATTTGTGTCGGTGAAAACTTGGAATTACTGTTTTTTTTTTTTTCAAATATAGGAAGGATATGAATATTTTCAAGTTTTTTTATCTCATTTTACCGAGAAGAAATGAAAAAATGCAAAATAACGTGGGCCGAAAGAAATGAAAAATTTAATTTTTCAATATCTCCAAAAAGTGTTAAAATCGATATATTTTTTCGAATAATGAAAGACTACGCATAAATTCGATTTCTACCCTTGTCTTTCGATAGAATAAATGAAAAAAAATTAGAATTGGAGACCGAAAATTTTGTGCGATTATTATTATGTAATAATTAATGAGCAATATTTGGAACGTTTGTGAATGAAAAATGAATTATTCAGGTACCAAACTTGAGATTAGAAAATTGAAAAAAAATCATGCAAGTTCTCTATTGGAAATCTTTACCTAACAAGAAAAAAAACCATTGCAGGTCCATTCGTGAAAGAAACGCCTTCAGCATCATCACCGGCGGCCTCCCCAATGTTCCGACGAGCCCAACCTCAAATCCGCGCTGTATCAACAAAACAATTGGACCGTACCCCAACCACACGATCCGGCAAACTTGTGATACGCGCTGGAAAGAGTCCCGAGCGTGCAACTGAAAAAATCGAACGTGAACAAAAGCAAACACGTGGTGCCTATGTCAACGTGCAGAGCGAGGAAGGTAAGAGGACGGAACATAATGGTGTACATGAGTCAACTGATTGCACCGATGGCACTGACTGTAACAGGGGAAAAGTACTAAGGACATTGACCTCGGATACGTGTCATTTCGATAATAAAACAATTAAAAGTCGCGTGGATACATTGAACTCAAAGGAGAATGAGTACTGCCCGGAGAAATTACGTACCAAGGGTAATACTCCGAAACTAACGAGAAAACTTTTTATTTCAAATTTCGATTCGTCTCCCAGTAGTAGTTTATCGTATTCCAATCATGAAGACAGCGCGGTTCTGACGGAAACACCGGAAAATGTACCGCTGAATCGTGAGAGGAAGATCAAACGCAGCGAGAGTTACAGAATGGCGAATAGCCCGATAATGTTCATTAAAAAAATATCCTGCAATGCGGATAGATCGACAAAAATTATCAGAACAGCGTCTGAAGAATTGCGGGAAGACTTGATCAAGGAGAGAATTAATTATCCCGATAGTGTAGCTAGTCCAACGATTTTAGAAAGCGACTTTTCTGATTCTAGTTGGAATAATAATAATTGTCGTTTGAGCTCACCCATGACTCCTCGACCACGTGCACAGGATCTCGAGCCAGCTCGTGTTCTTAAGTACTCGAGCAATGATACAGAAATATGGTAGGGATTGATTGTTAAGGTGTTTCGTGTGTAGATCACCGGGGGGTGCAACGAAAGGGGAGTTTATTGTTCTCGAGCCCTGATTCAATCGCTGAGCACGAAATTCCCAAGTTTCAAGCAACTATTTTAGTGCGCATTGAACATTTTTTGAATATTGATTTTATTTATCAGATTGACTGATTTTTTCTCCATCACCTACGGGTGTCAAATAATTTTCATTGGATATTTTGTGGTAAACCTGTCGAGTGTTTTCTCTCTCTCAGTTCCATGGTCCAACCCGTACCTTTCTTATGATGCTCACTGACATTCGAATCACGCGCCTGTGCGTGAGTGCGTAATTGCCCCGAAACTCATAATTTTCCGAATCATTTATTCAAATAACTTGCTTATGAAATCCGAAAAAAATCTGAAACTTAAACGTGTTCTCAAGAAAGATTTGATTTATCACCCACTAGTTTTTCCACAATAGTTCATTATTTTTTGGAGTGCCATGGAAATTTCCCTAATAGACCTTTTCATTCTGAGAGTCACTAGATTTGCGGACACTTTTTTCCCATGTTAATTCCCCTAGGATTTGCGGACACTTTATCGAAATTACATATAAATCATGGTTTTTGAGCGCTCAAGTGTATATCATTGTAAAGTTCAATATTTATCAGAATTTTCCATGGTTTTTTCGGAGATTTTTTCGTTGAATGAACGAAATAAATATTTCCCCTAGATTTCCAGAATGAAAAGGTCTATTAAGAATGGGGAATCCTCGGAGGTTATAGCTGAAGGAGTTACAAAAACAGCCAAATCTCATTATTTTTTTTCTTGAGACTGAGATCTGAAAAAAATGCAAAAATTCTCAATGATGCAGCATACTCAGACATTTCTTCCATGAATTTTCCATTTTTTTCCCATTATTTTGACTTTTCACACGAAACACCTTAAAGCGAGATTGCGATGAAATGCAGAAGTTCATGGATTTTGTAACCAGAAATCTGGGAGTTTTCTGCTATTGGAAGAAAATTTTAAATTTTGTTGATAAATGAAATTTAGCAGTATAAAATTTCAATGGAAATTCAATAAAATTCTAGATCTTTGTGCAACAGGACGATGAGAATTCTCCAACTCACTCGAAATTTCAATTTGAGTGATTTTCAATCAATATCGATAATTTACGCACGCTCTTGAACTTTACGCACTCCTGCACAAAAACAACCTAATTACCCACACTAACGTCCCGAACTGTGAACTCGGCAGATACCGTAAAAAATAGGATGTGTTACACGTGCGTATGAAAATAGTATATTTCTCACCAAGGAAGGGAAAATAAAGGAGTCGTGTCCACGTGCAGAATTACCACCCGAGCCGAAGGCGAGGGTGGTAAGCACGTGGGTAAGGGATCTTTATTTTACCTCCCGTGGTGAGAACGTTATTTTTCGTCACGGCGTAGGCGGACAGGCAGAAAACATGTTCTTTTCGCCCGCCGTGGCGAAAAAGTGCAATTTTACGCACTAGTAACACTATACTATTCTAATTATATAAAATTGCTGAAGACCGCTTAGGCCATCCTGTTGTCATCTGATGTTTAAAGCAATGCATACATATTGTTGTAGTCAAAGAAATAATAATTCCGGAATTAATCAAAGGGGCGTTTTCATTGACAGTTCTTCAAATTAATTAATGAAACAAAAGTATCATCATACTTCAAGTCAGACTCTAACAACAAAAGAACATCTATTTCTTTTTATTATTTTACAAAAGAAGGGAAAAGGATAAATCAAGCCATTTGCTTTCGACACAATATTGATATAATTGGCTTTCGGATGGATACAGCGTTTTAGCATTGCGCCGACCTTTCGCAAACATTGCACGCTGAGAGAAAAAATTACTTTGGACAAAGATGATTTCCTTGATACAAGAAAATATTCTCTTGACAATTTCTAGAATCGTGAAATCTCCTGGTAAATAATTTTGTGCTCACACTGAGAAAAAGAAGTCTTTCAACAGGATGAGATTCTCTTGTCCCGAGACAATTTTCAAGTGTTATCATAAGTCTTCTCATAAATTTACATAGTTCGTGTTATATCTCGAATTTAGTGGATTGTGAGAATTCACACTTTCCCGATCTGATCACTCATCATCTCCAACTGAGTAATTTTTGTTTCAATTGCACGACGAACACTTTCATTATCAATTCAAGTGTATAGAAAATTGATNAAAAGAAGTCTTTCAACAGGATGAGATTCTCTTGTCCCGAGACAATTTTCAAGTGTTATCATAAGTCTTCTCATAAATTTACATAGTTCGTGTTATATCTCGAATTTAGTGGATTGTGAGAATTCACACTTTCCCGATCTGATCACTCATCATCTCCAACTGAGTAATTTTTGTTTCAATTGCACGACGAACACTTTCATTATCAATTCAAGTGTATAGAAAATTGATCTCAAGTGTTGTGCTCCTTGTGCAAAATTCTATGTAATCAAAGTCCTGATGAAAAAATTCTAGATATAACGCAAACTACATGAATTTATGGGAAGAACATAATTTCTAGTCTTGAGAGGGTTTAAAAATTTTCTCGGGACAGGAGAATCTTATCCTGTTGGAAAACTTTTTTCTCTCAGTCTGAGAACGAAATAATTTATCAGGAGATTTCATGATTTTTAAAATTGACAAGAGAATATTTTCTTGTATCAAGTAAACCTTCTTCGTCAAAAGTAGTTTTTTTTACTCAGTGCATCTTCAGTGCTAAGAGCTTCGATTCTGAGCTCCGATGTCTGGGGGTAGTCCTTATATACCCTCCCCTCCATTGAAAGTAATAATGGACGAAGAGAAAGGGGGGTTTGGGGGGGGGGAGAACTAATGATATGTTTTTAATTGACCACCAGGTCCAAAATTTGGATGTCAATAATCGCGGCCACGAAAGTTTCAAAACTAAGATTAATACATATTCCAACAACTACGAGAAACGTCCTGTAAAAATTTCGAGTCAATATCATCATTTTTTCTTCACAGCTTGAATCCCCCGCTGAGAAATAATCTCTCGAGAAGGTGAATCCAATATTTATGTCGAGTCTCTCGAGGGGTCAGTGCACATAACTCAAACGACTACAACAATCTATTGTTTTCGGTTGGGGGTAATCGATGAAAAAAACGAGAAAAAATGGAATAAGATTCCGCTGTGTTCGTGAATCGACCTTCCTTTATCCCTTATCGGTTGCATTTAATTTGCATGGCTCAACAATCGTCCGAGTTGCATCAGACGTCGATATTTATCATGTGCGATTACTAGATATATGTTGAGGAGTTCACAGAGGAAATTTTCCCCCTTCTTCCCATTTTTTTTGTTATTCACTTTGATCAGCGGCTACAAGGGTTTTGTGTTTTACTGGGGGGATATATTGAAAATTCCAAACGTTCGTCGGCTAGTGATCGCCAACGAGCGGAACAACTCACTCCACTCTCCTGCTCTTAGACTGTGATAAATTTTTTTAGTCTTTTTTTTTTATTTGAAAAAACAATTGTCTTAGAAGGGAAGAATTGTCTTTCTAGGAATGAAATCAAGAATGAGTGGAAATTGCTGTTGTTGATCAGTTGAAGGCCACTAAAGAAGTTGATAAGAGAGACCAGTGCGGGGGGTTAAACCAGTAGAAATCACGTTTCGGTAGACAGACAGTCGCCGCACGTTGACTTTTGTTGATCGAACGAACCGGGCTTGAGTGGTACGAGATTGATCTTGTCTGAGTAAATATTTACATGGAAAAATGCTGGCCAGGCATCTCTTGTTCTTAGCAACACGCCGACCCCGTAAGTCCTCACTAATGACTTCATCCAGTAGTAATTAACCGTTCGAAAGGGTTTTTTGTCTTCTCAATAATGACTCCCATAATGGATTAACAATGCTGTTTATTACCTTATTTCCGATTTTTACGACTCATTGTTTCGATATTAATGTGGGAAAATTTTATCACAATGTACTTTTCCATGTCTACATATAGCCAGCAATTATCACCGCAGGCAAAGCCATGTTTTTATTTAAAATTGGACAACTGTTAGGGTGAAAGAAATTTGTAAACACGTAATTGAAATTAACACTCGAAAATTGAAATAGATTTCACACGTTTGACCCCTAAATCTCGGCGATACTAATGAAAGATTGAGGCTCGTTTATAACAGATGGCTTTTAATCTACCAGTGATTGAATAACCACTGATTATCTCAGTAATGATGGGAAAAAATGCCTTATTTAACGCATAGGTCACGGTAATCTCTGAATCATCACACGTGCAGTATTAAGAACGATTAGTGATTTAGCTTACGACCTCATTGTGTATGAGTTACTAAGTCGGCAGAGTTCAATATTACACAATCACGAAGTGTCAGAATTTTTCTCAACACGAATTATCGCGGATGGTCTCGAATGATGATGGGCATATTGGAGGAATGTATCCACGTGATTTTGTAACTGGCATTCACAATTCAGAGGAGGAAAAAATCAACTATATCAGTTATTTCGTAATTGCCAGTGTAAACAAATGGAAATATTGTAGTTTGATTAGGGAACTTGCATGAAGCTGAATTCTTTTTAATTCCCCTGTTCACACATTCCTCGTAACATATGGATAGCTAAACGGCGAAAATTATGGAGAAATATTGCCTAGATGTCTTATGATAATTAATTGAAAATCAGTGATTTCGATGCCAATTTTTGGGATCTATTTTTATTTAATTGCTTAAATATTTCTCATATGTTTATTACCATCTTAACGATTGAAGTCGCTTCTTATACACGAAACTGCGTTGCCATCTGAAATGATAATGTAGTTTCATGCTAAGCAGAAAAATCTCCATAAGAACCCATATATAAGTAGCGACTTTAATCGTTAATAACTTGAAAAGGAAATCCAAAAAAATTCTATGAAAATTCATAGACAATTCAAATATGATTATAAACATTCTGTATGAATTCCAGATGAATGTCATTATTTACCTTTATCACACGAAACACCTTAATGAACAATATTTTGAACGTTTGTGTATGAAAAATGAATTGCAAAATTTCTCCTCCTTCTTAAGGCCATTTTGCGGTTCTCGGCTATTTTAACGTCCTCAATTGCAAAATTTCTCCTCCTTAAGGCCATTGTGCGGTTCTCGGCTATTTTAACGTTCTCAATGAATTAACACAAAAATCCATTTATTTCAGGATTATTTGTAATGCATTGCTGTGACTAGTTGAATTTGACGGATAGTTACTTAGAATTGACATAGTTAAAAATGTTTTAAATAATGGGGTGGGGGGGGGGGGTTTTT